GGAAAAATCAACATACTTCTTTAATTGGAAGGGCCTTAATCATCAATAATGTAATATTAGCATCCATTTGGTACAAGTCTGCAATCTGGGCAATCACCTGGACAGCAACAAAGGCATTGAAAAAGTTACTGATATCCTTTCTCTGGAGGGGAAATCATGAAACTCAAAGAGTAATTCCGAGGGTAGCATGGCTTACGCTTATTCAGCCTAAATTGAAGGGGGGATTAGGTATATTGGATCCATCTTTACAATGTCAGGCATTGTCTCTTCAATGGATAAAATCACTGATATTTTCACCAGAGGTTCCCTGGCTACCAATGGCCCTAAAGCAAACTCGGCGTTTGGCGCCATCCACAATTGAAGGGATACATCCACTCACATGGGTAGAAAATCGATATTCGTCCATTCCAAGAGGAAACCTACATTCACATGAAGAAGGGATGGGGGGGAAGCAAGTAGGGATAGCTGTCAGGATAACTTTTGGGGTTCTCTTATCAAAACCTGGAGACAGCTTCCACTCCCTGACAAACCATTTCCATCAAGATATGAAGAAGTGTTAAGACCTCTTTTTGGTAATAGATGGATCACAGACAGCAATGGGTGTGTTTACAATAGTTCTTCAATGGGTGTGTTTACAATAGTTCTTCACCTCCATGGTCAACCTGGGTTAAAAGGGAGATCCTGAGGATTAAGGATATATGGGATCCCTCGGTAAGGAACTGGAAGTCTGTAGAGCAGCTTAGATTCACTCTCAAATATGCTCACCACCTACCTGAAATGTTGGACCAAATCATTTTCTCCATTCCTCTGACCTGTGTAAAAACGCTAAGAAAAGGATACCGCCTGCGGGATTCAGATTGGGTGTCGAGATATGATTCACTTGATGTATGGATAATAGGTCAGGTTGTTTGCCAATATTAGGATGGAGCAATGGTAAATATTTTCCATTTACAACAGGATTTTTTTTCTGGCTAGGTATGATCCAGACAGGGTGGAGTGGGTGCCCAACAAAACTTTATACAGGATTAGGGTCCTACTTCACACAATACCTAGCCACACAACACTTGTTCGATGGTGGGCCTACTACCCGGAAATCCCAATAGCAAAGTTTCCACTTGACCCTGAGGAATGGACATGGAAAGTTTCCAAGAGAGGTAAGCCCAGAATGCTTCAATCCCTAACTGTCAATGCAGCCTATTGGATGTTGAGACCCAAAGTCGATGCTCCAACAATTGTGCAAGACACAGGTAAAACATCTCAACATCCACATAGACCAGTTTAGATCAGTACCATGGTTTCGATCCACTAACGAAAGAGCAGCCAAATTTGCTTCACTTCAATGGCAGATTATGCATAGATATCTGGCCACCAATGACTGGTTGATAGATCACTCAACGCTGGAACGGCGGGGTTTAGCGTTACCATGCTGCCGATCTTGTCACATGGCATTCCCCTCTCGTAAATATAGAGAAGCGATTGAACACATTTTTACTCAGTGTCCAGGGTCCATCCTTATGCGGCAACGTTGGGACTGTATTTGGCGAAGACTAACGGGCCTCGAGTGGCCTTGGGAATGGAGAGCTCTTTGACTAGGACAATGGAATCCGGTTGACCTGCCCCTCTCAACCTTTCAGTCAAATCTATTTTGTCTTGGTCGGAAAGCTATCATATGGACGATATGGCAAAGGAGGTGTGTATAATGGAGGAGGTGAGCATGGAAGAGATGGAGATGGAATTTTCTCAGTATATCAAACAATTTGTGTAAACAGAAATTCAGGCTCAATGGGCTAAATTCAAAACTCTAACTCAGAAGAAAGACATCAAAAAAATCTATTCTCAAATTCACAATGGACTGGTTAGGGGGATCTCAGAAGCAAGGAATTGGACAGGTGGTATGGCCTGATGAGAATGAGTCTGTGATGCCTCTCAAGAATCGTTACTTGCTACAGTTTAATGATTGGTTTGATATTCAGCCAGGGGAGTTTCTCAAAGGTGCTGCATGTTTTTTTGAACTGTTCCCTCCCTGGGAGTTAGCTTTAGTAGAACCTCAATGGTTTGGTGGGGCAGGGTCGGATAATGAAGAATGATTCCTCGTCATCAGGACGGTTAGGACTGCTAGAGGTGTTTGTCATATATGGCAGTCTGATCAGGACTGAAGAGGTGGTTTTGATCCTTTTGACTCTTATCAAGTTGTAATACTGGACATTTTTCTGTATAAGGGACGCTGAACCCAGTTTTCAGCAGGTGATACTCCCCACCAATAGAGTGGAGTCTCAACTGGGTGATTAGGAATGGCTGCTCTTATCACCATTCCTAATGACTTCAGTTGTGTTTTGATTATTAAAACAAAAAAAACAAAAAAAAATCCAGTGTATGCTCCTATGATTGATCACGTTGACATCAATTACCGCACAACGTAATAAGCAGAGCACAAACATCAAAGAACGGAGGAAGTTAACCGAAACGTTAACATAGTACATCAGTGACCAGCTGAAATCGCCCATCATTGTGATGGGTCAGAGAACGCAGCCACTGCTCATGTCGCATTCGTTTTTCGAGCCTGGAGCGAACTAAGGCATAGTGTTGACGGAAAAACTGACGGAAGACAAACAGAATGGGTGACCGCAAAAGGTGACAAACCGAATGGCTTTTCTTGAACCTGAAGCGGATTACCTTCTTCCCCGAATACAACGTACGGTCATTATGGCTGTATTTGGAGCGTCTTTCGGTCCAAATACAGTCATAATGACCGTACGTTGTATTCGGGTGAAAAACTGACGGAAAAGGTGACAGACGGAATAGGTGACGGAAAAACTGACGGAAAAGGCGACAAACGGAAGAGGTAAACGACAGAGTTGACTATAGAATCCAACGTCCAGAAATTTCCGTGTCACTATTCTGTGCCTGATGATGCTTAAAAAAAGCCACGGCACGAACATGAAACGAAACGAAAAAAAAAGCCAGGGCATGGCACAGACGTCGAACTTCAAAACCCTTGTCAGCATACAAGTCTGAATATGCAGTCGTCCCTAGTGCCAATTGCATGCTTGGAAATCATGAACCCTCGACCTGGACGTAAAAGAGCTCAGGTTAGTTCTTTCCTAGCATGAAAAGACATTGATCACTTCAACGCAGTGATAAAATGGGTTTACCATTGGAAAAAAATGCCCACACAGATATAATGGGTCTCGTCAGAGATGCCTCCTGCTGCTGTATGTGGGCCTCGCCGCAGCACTCAGCAAAGGCATAAGAGACAAAAATTACGGCGGTGTATCTTTTTTTTTTTTTTTCTTTCTTTTTTTTTTTTTTTTTTTTTTTTTTTTTTTTAAACTCCACCGGCGGCGTATCTTCACGAGTAGGCAAGAAAAGGTTCTCCTACGGCGGTGTATCTTAACATGTCCTAGCGGAAGATTCGTTCTCATTTCCCACATTTGGTAAGCAGTGCAGCGAGGCCCTACAGAGCAAAAACGAGTAGGCAAGGTATCACTCTCTTTTCACTCTTCTGACAATCCCAATTCGAGTTAAATAATAATACGTAATAATAATTACAAAAGAAAGTGTACTATGTTCGTCCCGAGCTAGCATAAAGGTGAGCACTTTAAGGTCAGGTTCAGTGTACCCTGTCCGTCCTGAGCGAGCATAAAGGTAACCACTTTAAGGCCAGGTTCATGCTGTCTAACACAAACAAGCACCGGCGGCTGAGAGCCCAAGCTGAGGCAAACTCGTCTTCCCGCACGAAGGGCACGATTATTATTATCTAACGGCATGTACGTGGCCTGAAAATTGCGCCAAATACACATGTAGTTACCATGTCACACATCCAATCACGGTACGATTTTCTTCTTTCACTCCGACTGGACGAGGGCTTTTGCAAAACCTTCCCTTCTTTTTTTTTTCGCCGCCGAATGGATTTTAAAGCACACGCTCATCCACATGTTCTCGGCGAAAACTCTACAAAACAAAACAAAGGCAAAAAACAACACACACACACACACACATACACATACACACAGATCCACAACACAAGCGACATGTTCTTGGCGAAAAACAACACACACACACACATACACACAGACAAAAAAAAAAAAAAACAGCGCAGTAAACTGTCGAGAGAGTCGCCCATCTTTTGAGAGTTTATGTATGCACAGAGTAGCCACACGTTCGTTCGCACAGAATAGTTCTCACATAATCGCCACATGCTCGTTCGCACAGAATAGCCGCATGTTCGTTCGCACAGAATAGCCACATGTTCGTTCGCACAGAATAGCCGCATGTTCGTTCGCACCGGATAGACATACTTTCGCACAGAACAGCCACACGCCACGGATTCGTACGCACGGAATAGCCACACGCCACAGATTCCTACGCCCAGAATAGCCACACGCCACATATTCGTACGCAGAGAATAGCCACACGCCACGTATTCTTTCCCACAAAAAAAAATAGCCACACGTTCGCAGAGAAGCCGCGTTCCTTGGTACAAAATAGCATCTTGTACTAGGGAATACCCACGTTGCGCACAGAATGGCCACACGCCACAGACTCGTACACAGAGAAGAGCCACACGCCACAGCACAGAATGGCCACACACCACAGATTCGTACTCACAGAAGAGCCACACGCCACAGATTCGTCCTCACAGAAGAGCCACACGCCACAGATTCTTATTGCACAGAATCGTACGCACAGAAGAGCCACTCGCCACAGATCAGCCACACGCCACAGATCCTGCCGCGTATTCTTTGGCACAGAATAGCCACACGTTTGCATAGAAGGCCACGTTCCTTGGTCCAAAATAGCATCTTGTATTAGGGAATATCCACGTTTCCACGTATTTCCTTCAGCGCGCTCCATTGTGAGAGTGCACTCTCACAAGCCACTAGGAGGAACAGTCAGCAAAGCAGAGGATGACTTTTCTCTTTAAGCATTCGAAATACAAGCGAATCGAATAAAAATACAGCAAAGGCCCTGCCTGCGCACAAACCAAGGACGCGATTTACCTGAGAAAGAACCCCGCCATCACCTTCGCTGAAAAGGTCAGGGAGAGCGAAGTGTGTGCAGAACCAGTAGGTGTAGAAACCTCGCCCGACATGAGCGATGTCAGGAATCTCCTCATTATTTAACCCATAGAATGGGTCAGGAAATACCCCGGCATTAACAAGCGTATTCAGGATCCTGAAACAACGACAAGTCGGACAAATCAAAAAAGAAAACAACACATTTAAAAAAGCGAGAGAAAAAAAAAAAAAAAAACACCCTTAGATACAAGGCTACAAGCGATTGTCATCCAACCGTTAACAACTCCAAAAACTAAAAAAAAAAAAAAAAAAAAAAAAAAAAAAGTTCACCTCACAAGCCCCTTTGAGTCCCACAAAACCTCAAAAACCGCCATCAAACTCAAAAAGACTCCAAAAAAAAAAAAACACAAACTGAAAAAAAGTTATACCGTGAAAAGCTCACAAAGTTCGGAAAAAAAAACAAAAACTCCAAAAAAACACCACCCTTATCTGACAAGTCTCTGCGAATCTGAGAGAGAGTGCGCACACTTGATCACAGAGAGAAACAGGATGACGCCCTTCATATTTGGAGGGAATATACCCGTAATTGCAGTCACACACGTTCCGCAAATACGATACTACCGATAGCAACTTTCCCAAAAAGCCTATCAGGGACTCCTCGAGCACTCGTCGGGGGGAATCCGACCGTAATTGAGGTCAGATACGTCGTCAGATACCTTCTTTCCTTTCTCTTTTCTTATTTTCCAAAACACCCTACTCTGGAAATAACCCTCTTCTGATCTGTCCAAAAATATCTGATTTCTTGAACAAAAATATCTGATTTCTTGAAATTAGTAAATAATAAAAAAAGAAAATGACCTGTGACCACCAGGCCTAGCTCACTTGGTACACCCATTCACTAGGTAGATGACTAGAAAAAAGGACTAGTTCTGCATTCAGACCTGAGTTCGAATCCGCACGGAACTAGCCGTCATTGCAGTCAGATTCATCCAGTTTAAAAGAAACCCTGTTTAAAAAACGTTTACAAAAAGTTCGAAAGAAACCACCTTTGAGAAACGCTTCACTAACATTAAAAAAGTCGAAAAAAAAACTGTAAAAAAAAAAGTCAAAAAAAGTTAAAAAAACGTTGCAAGAAGCAAAACAAAAGAAACAACCTTTGCGACATAGTTGTTAATCTTCAAGGCTTTATATGATATAAGAGCATTTCAGGGCATTCCCCCACTACGACTTTTACATACTAAGCTCTGGACGTCATGGCAGTCAGATTCATCCAGATCTGGCCGTAATTGCAGCCAGATACATTTAGGAAAGTGCTAGCGTGAGCATGCGCTCAAGCAAGTACCTCCAACTCGAGGATCAAATTCCAAAAACGAATCCCCTAAACTTCTGCCAACGTTCAAAGGGAGAGACCTAGAGACTTGGGTGGGGGAGGAGGGAAGAGAATGCGCTTGAGCAAAAGGGAGAGGAAACAGGAGCGCTGGCTTCCAGGCTAACCAAGCTCAGAGAAATCTTCCTTGCCACCATCCTCTTCCATTTTCATCATCGATCGCCCTAGTCATCAGCATCGTACGATGCACTAACGAAGGTCGGAGAAATCTCCCTTGCCATCGTCCTCTTGCCTTTTATCATCTCCTCAATATCAGCATCCCCTCCCCCCCGTCATTATCATCTTCCCTTTCAATCAGCCGCGTTCCTCGCCATCAGCCTCGTTCAATCAACCAACCAACCAACCAACCAACCAACCAACCAACCAATCAATCAATCAATCATTCAATCAAGCATGATTTCGAAGCATAAAATCTTGACAAGGGGGCGTAATGACGGCTAGAGCGGCTGACAATGACGACAGAGGCTGATGATGACGAGGCTCCTCGACTTTGAATCTCTTTCCTCTCTCCTCTCCATTCGTTTTCTCACACCCGCCGATCTCCTCTTCATTCTCTTTCCTCTCTCCTCACCATTTTTTTGCTCTTTCTTCTCTCCTCTCCATTCTCTTTCTTGTTCTTTTTCTTGTATTTCGTCAATCACATTCAATTTCTGTGTATCGATGATTCTCCCTTCACACCAGTCTCTGTGCATCGATGATTCTCCCTTCCCATTTCTCCTACACTCCCGTTCTCCTCCTGCTGCATGTGGATGCTATCGTTTGTGATTAATCTGCCTCCTCTCTCCCCCTGCGAGACATGGAAACAGAAGACTACGCACCCCTCGACCTCACGACCTCACAGCCCACGTTCCTTCGATAACTCGCACACTTCCTCCTCCACTCTCTCCTTCTCCTCGATTCTCTCTTTTGCGTTTGTTCTCCTTCCCGCCCGCCCTCCTCTCCCCCCCATTGTCTTACCATACATTGCAAAGGCAACCTATGCAGGATGCTCCCTCCACTCCCTCCCTCCTTGTCGACCTCAGACCAATCGTTGAAAAAACTCTACTTCTCCTCGATGCTCTCGTTCGTCATTCCTCTCCCTCCTTTCCCTTCTCTCCCCCTGACTGTCTTACCGTACACGGCGAAAAAAGGCAAACCATGTACCTCTCTCCGTCCTTGACCTCAGAGTAATCGTTGTAGTACTCTCGTGCATCATCCTTTAAGTATCCTATCAAAGATTAATCCTTATAAAATTTCCTTCTACTCCTCTACACCCATCACCACCTCTCGCTCCATACGCTCCCTGAAAGATGCTCATCACCCGCAGACATAGGGCCTCGCTCCACGACTCAGCACTACATGTATCTGGGCTTACGGTGGACCAGATACATTCGAACAGTCCGAAAGTCTTGAATGTATTAAGACTATCAGCAGCCCCAAATAAATGTAGGAAGTTCTGCAGTGGAACGACGTCCATAACCATTCGTCATGCTAATCTGCACGTCCCCACCCCTCTTTCTTTCCATCTCCATGGACCTCGCTCCACTACTCAACAGTCTACATGTATCTCGACTGCAACTGGACGAGATACATTCAGAAGTCTTCAATGTATTGAGACGATCACCAGCTTCAAATACATTTAGGAAGTGGCGCAGTGGAGCGAGGCCAATGATCATTCGCCATGCTAATCTGCAGATCCCCACCCCGCTTTCTTGCCATCTCCATGACCCTCGCTCCACTACTAAATAGTCTACACGTATCTCGACTGACCCTGGACCAGACGTATCCGAAGGTCTTGAATGTATTGAGACCATTACCAGCTCCAAATACGTTTAACAAGTTGCACAGTGGAGCGAGGCCAATAATCACTCGCCATGCCCATCTGCACATCCCGACCCCGCACTACCATTTCTTCTCTCAATCTCACCTCACACTACCTACCCCTACCACTTGCTCGAGAAGCCACTCACACTACCTACCCCTCCCACTACTCTTAAGTGTAGGGACACGGGGAACCCCGTAGCAGTCTACAAAGCACTACCTTCTTCCCCCGAATACAACGTACGGTCATTATAGCTGTATTTAGACTGAAAGATGCCCCAAATACAGCTATAATGACCGTACGTTGTATTCGGGGGAAGAAGGTAGCTCGAGAAGCCACGCACTTCTACATACGTAAAATAAGACGCAAAGATCGACAATCAAGCGCGCCAAGATCGACCGGACCCGCAGAGCAAGACCCTCCACTCTCCCACTGAGATCCACATAAAAAGGTCACTGAATTACTATTATTATATATATATTTGTTATACATAAAAAGGTCAGCTACCACCACATACACACACACACACGCAAGCATAAGGTCCACACACAAACACACGAATGAGGTCAGGAAATGCAATAGCTAAACACACACACAAGGTCCACACTCATACACACACAAATGAGGTCAGGATATGGCACGCAGGTCCTCGGCCGTCCCGGAAGAGAGTCAAGGAAGATGAAGAGAGTAGGGAGGAGAGTAGCACTCACGTCCCCGGCACAATGGCGGCAATCCAACCAGGACGGAACTCCTCCGCATCGAACACATCGCTCCCATCCGTACAGACAACGTTGAGTGTAGTTAGCTCCTCCCCGGTCTGGCGAACTGCGTCTGCTTTCGCCGCAATCCAGCCCGAATTGAGCACAAGCTTCCGTACAGGAGTCGCCATTTCATCGTCGATAAGCACTCCCTCTTCCACTTCCCGTATACAGTCACCCTGTCTCAACTAGCGGTGCGAACCACTCATTCTCTCTCTCTCTCTCTCTCTCTCTCTCTCTCTCTCTCTCTCTCTCTCTCTCTCTCTCTCTCTCTCTCTCTCTCTCTCTCTCTCTCTCTCTCTATCTATCTTGGTGTAGCGAGCCCCACACAAGTACACAAATCAGTTATGCTCAACCTTCGCTGAATCACTATGGGCCTCTCTCCACTACTCACCACATGCACACGAGACAAAAATTATGGCGGTGAATCTTTCCATGTTCTACTGCAAGATTCATACTCAGTTTGCACAATTGGTGAGTAGGAGAGCGAGGCCCCCTATCCGTTCATCCGCAGAAGTTCGCCGTCGACCGAAGAAAAAAGCTTGAGTGCTGTCTGCTGCCATAGAATCATTCAGCTTTCATAAAATAAAATTAAAAAAAAAGAATCATTCAGCTTCCCTTGCAACGGAAACGCATTTCAGAAACTACTGAGCAGCCTTCGTTCGCCATAGCGCCAGCGGCGAGAAGAAGAGAGACGAGACTGCAGACATTCTTTCGCCTTCAGCGCGCACACAAAACAATCCCTACATTCTCGTTCCCTAGCTCGGCCTCGCCACACCACACTGGAACTGTGAAAAAGACTCAAATGTGGCGGCTGCATCTGGGCATGCTATAGCGCGAAGTTCGTTCTCATTTTGCACATTTCGACGGTATCGAATACGGTCGAGGTGGTGGATACCTTCGATCAAAGAATCAATCTACGGCTGAAACATCCGCAACCCGTCGGGTGACGAAAGGCCTCACGGTAAGTCTCCAACCCCGCACATTGCCACCAATACTGCGGCTCGTCTGCGGCATAGTGCTTTGGATTGGCGATGGGCGCTGGCGCTATCTGTAGGCTGATCATACACCCAACACATGACCGTCGAAAAACAGCTCTAAGGGAGAATCGTCCCTCGAGGAGAAGCCAAACATGGAGGATGGGTGCGACATATAGTGACGTCCGACAAGAGGGCGGCGTGCCTTGTCATACTGTGTACCGCGCACGGCGCGGAGGCGCAGCCCGGGGAAAGGTCCCACTCACGCAAATTAGGAGATTTCGGCCGTTGATCTTTGCAATGTACGGTCAGTATCTCTAAATTCGTGCAAGTGGGACCTAGCCCCCGGAGGGAGCTGTGTGTGTAGGATGAGCAAAATCGGAACGAATCTTCAGCCAGAACATTGAAAAATACACTTTCTTTTCTTTGTGTGTGTGTGAGCGTGTGTGTGTGTGTGTGTGTGAGAGAGAGAGAGGGAGAGAGAGAGAGAGAGAGAGAGAGAGAGAGGGAAGGGGGAGAAAGAGAGAACAGGTAAGTCTCCAACCTTGCCGTGGGCCTCATGGTACTTCCATCTATAGGAGAGCAAAACCAAATGAATCTACCGCTAGAACATGGAACTATGCACTGCCACACTTGTTTGTTTGTTTGTTTGTGTGTAGTGTGTGTGGGTGTGTGTGCATGTGTGTGTGTGTGTGAGAGAGAGACAGATAGAGAGAGAGCAGAGAGAGAGAGAAAGACTACCTCTTCCCCTGTCGCTCTCACTCGCCCATGCCCTATAAAGAAAAGTGGCCCATTACCCTCTTTTCTACCGGTTCGGTTTCCCGAACGGGAAAGGTTGGACGCCGCCTGCAATTCGAATGACCTGCAAAACCCATTAGTGATCGTTGGATCTCCAAGCTCCAGCGCCATCGTTGGGGCGACCGGACGGTCTTGTGACAAGGACCACACTCTTTCTTCGAATTCAGAAACCCGGAAACCACCCCGTCTTGCTTCATTCGAGTACACAACAAATCCGGTAAGCGCACTAAACGGCAAAATGCAACCGGGTATAAACGCAGCCCCGTACTCGACATTTCCCAATCCGGTAAGCGTGCGAAATGTCGCGGCTCATACATGTGAAAGGACGATTGACGTTCCAAGCATGAAGAGGAAAAAAAAGTGAGGGAGCCACAAAAAAGTTGGTATCGACATACCTCCCGCTGCATCTGATACTAAAAACGAGTGTGATGACAAGGAGGCATCATCAACTTCAAGTGGGACAGGGCGAAAGAATAGCAGGCGGCGAGAACAATAGTCGAAGATTGTATGTGGTTGTTGTGGGAAAGTCGGTCATACTCCTCGGAAATGCAAGAGAGCGAAAGATAAAGTCAAAACAAGAGACCGTTTACCCTAGATAAAGATCAAATTTTCTCCTAATAGTTATCATTTTCTTACTTATCTCATCTATGGCAAGAAAAAGGTACAGTCGCGTCAGTAGCTTCAAGACGACTTGTAGATAGACATTTAGAGTGTTATGACGATACGGAAGACTCACTTTCTAGATTTATAGGCGATTATTTATTTTGCATTACCATTAAGGCTGAGCCTGTGAGCTTTCCGATGATATATGAGATCCACCTTATGTATAAATTATGACTTCGAGTGTGGGTCATTTGGGATTTGTGCGTACATATTGGATCTGACTATCCACTCTCTAAGCTTTGTTTCAGTTTTCGTAGGATACCAGTGGAGAGCTACTATGGATAGGTTATCCATATGTTTAACGCTCAATCACCTCCACGAGAACACTTGGGATCATTTTATGTATATCAATCAATTACGATATGTAAGGGTATGCTCTACAAGATCATTTGTGTTTGGTTGAGACCTTAATTGGTGATGGTTTAAGATTTGTAATAATTTGAAACTCGAGATAGTCTGGATCTCCTTTGGGAATCACTTTGGAATGGGTTTTGATCTCATCAGATTGCAGATTCGTGCCCGTTCTGGTTGTCATTACAATTCTCACCATTGTGACTTTGTGGGTTTTTTTTCAAACAACACGGTAACTTTCGGGTTCATTACATGAATCTTTTTTTTTTTTTTTACTGATCTACGCACAATTTCTGCTTTCACTTTTCTGCTTCCTCTCCTTCCATTTCGCCCCTTCCCTCTCCTTCGTCGTTTTCTCGCATCCTCTCCACTTCGCCGCAACATCACCGCGGTGGGCTCCCTTATTGAAGAGAAAAGAAAGATATCATCATTGAACAGACCGGCCCCAGACAATTCAGAATGATCTTAGTCTCTCTTCATCTGGAGGTATTGGGATTCGAACGAGAGTTTGTATTTCAACAGTTCAGGGGTGTACAAACTGAGTTAAACTAATTAGTAGAAAAATTATTTTTTTACTGTTTTTATTTTGAAAGGCCTAACCAATTCAATTTCCTGTTAAGTTTGGAAAGGACTGCCTTTTAGGTTTTTTTTTTTGTCACTGTATTACGGGAACCCCGTAGCAGCCACATACACGCTCAAACCTCCAACGAGGGAACATGAGGGAGTTGCACCCACCAACAGATGCGATACCAGCCAGGGATCAGCTGGTAGCAACAGGACCGAGCTTCTTCGATGGGCCAAATGTTGTGCCTCCCCTTCAGTCTCCTCCCCTGATGAACATCAGCAGTCTCTGCTCAATGTCACTCGGGGAAACCAATAGCCTATCTCTAGGTGGCAGACACCAAGCTTGGCCAGGAAGGTACACGAGGCCAATGGGGATTGAACCCAATAACTTTTGATGCCTCGTGCGTGCCTTACCAACTCAACCGTTTATCGATGTATGAGTGTCATCCTTGCGCACGGGCCATGCTAATCTTCCATGCTAAGACTCCCTTGCCGCTTGCGCTGTCACCTGTCCGAAGGACCTGCCTTACCAACTCAACTAGATTGGCTCCCTCTCGGTAACAAAAAAAAAAAGAAATCAATGTTTTGAATGCAATTGTCGTCGGATACATTCCCAGAAGTACTTTTGTGAGTATGCCGTCAGTGAAGGCTGTAAGTTGTGCAAAGCGGGCACACATTCCCCAAAGTAGTAGTGTGGATATGGGCCTCGCTGCACTACTCTCCACATGCAGAAAAGACAAAAAAAAATGGCAATATATCTTTCTATGTTCTAGTGGTTGATTCGGTCTCATTTCACACATTTGAAGAGTAGTGTAGCGAGGCCCTATGCCCTCAGTGAGGGCGTCAAAACCCAATGCCTCGCTTTTTGACCATTTTGTGCCTTTTTTTTATGGTCGTTTGAAGATGTATGGGGCAACGAGATTCCCTTTGTCCCTAACTACCATCCTGCAAAACCACAGCCAAGTGAACGGGCTTGGAAGAATCGGTGGGAAAAGAAGACTCCGTTGAGCTTGACTCTCGTGCAACTCTATTAAATGATTTCAAAGGTGTAGAATAAGTGGGAGCCTTACGGCGCAAGTGAAATACCACTACTTTTAACGTGATTAAACAAATTAACAAAATATGCATTTTTTATTATTTATTTTTTTTTTTTTTAAGAAAAGGGCGGCCAGAGTGTCGTATGATCCAGGCACTCCCAGAGCGTGGTCCCACTAGCAAAGAGAATTGGATAGAATGCCTGAATCTGGACGAGGTTATGAAGATGTGCAAAAAATCGAGATTGAACTGTTTTTCTGCATCTCTGCATACAATACGCTCACATTCAGGAGCTCGATCATATCCTCTTTGCTAGTGGGACCTCGGCCCCAAGCCGCTTTCGAATTGGGCGCTGCTTGTTTGGTCTTTTTTTTTTTTTTTTTTTTTTTTTTTTTTTTTGGGCCATTTGAAGGTGTCTGGGGCCGCCCCGCTTCTTTGAGTGTCAGGCCTGCACTCGTTACCGCCATCGCCTATGATGAGCGAGGGTGGGAAGAAGGGCGACGGGCAACGAGAAGCCCATACAACAGAAAAATTCCCACGAGAAATGAAAGTCGAAAAAACATTCCATAAACAAAAATTCCTCCATATTTGTAAATTGTTATTCCAATGTTCGTCCAATTCTAAAATTTTCAATTTAATTTGATGAATTTTCGTCTAAATATGAATTTTCCCTTCCAACTACATCTATTTGTTCAAGATGGAATAAAAGTCTGGACGAGTTTATGAAATGTTTTAATTAAACTTTCATTCTATTACAACAAATATCTTCTCATCGCAACTTGCATTCCATCTCTAGATGCATTTCAAATAAGAAGGGATACCCCATTCTTGGAAAGAAAGTTTTCAAGTAAGACATAAAATTTTAAAATTGGAATAACATTTTTTAAGATGGAATGAATATTTACAATTTAGAATGTAATTTTACTCTAGAATGATTATTTAATTCTGGGAAATTTGTATGTTGTAGCAGAGAGAGGACCAGGTGCGCCAGGGCTAGCAGCAGGCGCAGCACGAGGGCAACTTGAGGAGCAGCGAGAGGGCAACATCAAGCAAGTTTCTCTCTTTCTCACACACATACATACACACTCAAATACGGCAGCGCGAATGGTCACTGATTAGAGTGATGATGGGCTCATCAAAATCGAATGAATTAAAAAAAAAAAAAAAAAAAAAAAAAAAAAAAAAAAAAAAAAAAAAAGTCCGACACTGGGAAAGAGGGAGGGGGGGGTGGGGCATCGTCGTCGTGAGTAGATTCATTTGATTTTGCTCATCCTATCGTTGGAAGTAGCGTGAGGGCAGCCAAGGGGCTGAAGATGTACCGGTTGGCCGGTGCGTTGCTCATCCTAGTCGATGGAAAACTCTCTCTCTCTCTCTCTCTCTCTCTCTCTCTCTCTCTCTCTCTCTCTTTCTTTCTCTCTCTCTCACACACACACACACACACACACGCACACACACAAACACACACACACACACACACACACATGTGTGGCAGTGTATATTTCCATGTTATAGCTATTGATTCATTCGATTTTGCTCATCCAATCAATGGAAGTACCATGAGGCCAGCCGCGAGGTTGGAGACTTAC